AGACGGCATCGAAAACTGGAAGGGCCTTTGGAACAGCCAAGGTGGCTGGGCCCATGCCAAGAAGTCTTTAGAGAAATGGGGTAAAGCAGCACAGGATATGGGTGTTGAATTCATATCAGGACCTAATGGTACGATGACTGGGCTGAGCCTTAATACTTCGGGCAAGCTTGACGGGATCAAGGTTGCGTCCGGCGATGTTGTGCGTGGGGACAGGTATATCCTCTGTACAGGGGCTGCATCACCTGAAGTTCTACCTGAGTTGTCACAGGAGATGTGGACAAAGTGCTGGTCTTTGGCTCATATCGAGCTGAATGATGAGGAGATTACCCAGTGGAAGGGGATTCCCGTCGTGGACAACTTTGAGCTGGGCTTCACATTCGAACCAGACGCAGAGACCAGTAGGTTTATACGACAATGAGAGACAAGGATCTGTATACTGACATTGCTTGCAGAGTGGATGAAGATCTGTGACGGATCCCCAGGTTACCAGTACCGAATCGGCACGTACACTGATCCCTCGGGTAAGGTAGAGCACTACTCAATTCCTCGATACGCGAGTGCACACCCCAAAGACGGAATACCCGATGAAGCAGCTACAGCAATCAGGAAGTTTATTGATACAGTCATGCCACAGTTCTCTGGTCGACCGCTGTTAGGTGCGCGAGTCTGCTGGTGCACCGACTCTCCGGACTCTCACTGGCTCATCGACAATCACCCGAAATATCCATCGCTACTTCTGGCGACTGGAGACTCTGGTCATGCTTTCAAGATGTTTCCCACCATCGGCGACTACATTGCAGATGCCTTGGAGGGCAAAGAAAGGGGATTAAGAGAGGAATGGAAGTATGGCAATAGAAAGTCGAAGCCTGTCGCTACTAGGCCTGGCACGGAGGTGAAAGACCTCAGAGATATTATGCACCTGGAGGCTGCATGATGAGCGAGGAAACCTTCTACCTTGAAGTTGGGAGACTTGGGGCTTGAAGACAGCTTGCAGTCTGTATTGCTAATATAAGAATCGAACGTGTCCAAAGTACGCTCAACAAACAAGAGAACAGCGTGAAAACATCATCCCCTGGGACTGCGATGATCCGGCCATGGCACCTCATACTCGACCCGTGTCTCTGTTGTGACTCTGATACCGCTCATGCTCGCCACTCTCTGCGGAGGGTCTTCTTTTGAGTCATGTTCTCCCACCGGCTGTATCTGGTCGACAAGGATTAAGGCACTATCATCTGGGTCCCTTGGGTTCGACTCGATGATATTCTCGCAGCGACTTCTGCTTTGTTTGCGAAAAGCATTTCCGGACCAAAGCCTCGCAACATCTTCTCTTGACCCATATTTCGGCATGTCATTCGATGATAGCGACAAATCATCATGCCAATGCAGCTCGTATGCCTCTGACTGAACGTTGCGCCTCTTCTTGTTGGCTTCAATTGTGGTAGAGTAGGGATTTGAGTGTTGGTACTTGTGATAATCTGGCGTTGTCTTCTTCGTCTTGGAGCCGCGTGCGGCGACGTGGGAAGTCACAAACATTGGCAGATAGCGCACGAAGAAAGGCTTAAGTGCCGGGACGGAGGCACACACAATTCCAGCGTTGACTTCGATGGATGCCCAGTTCAACTGCCTGTCAATGTCAAAAGTGTAATCCTTACTTTTGAAAAGCGGCGGTAGGAGGATTGTACGTCTGATGGCACATAGACAGACACTGCAGAGACGTCAGCATGCGATTGTGCACCTTCGCGTGAGAAGTCGCTTACAAGCCCCCTGTTGCAAATAGCAGAATCAGCGACAGCTTTTGTCGGGCTGCCATCTGCAGGGGGATGATGATCTTCAGAGGAAGAATAAGGCACACGACATCCATGATGATGTTGGTAGCACTGAGCACCAAGTAGACGGTGTTTTTGTCGATGCATATCGCTCCCTCTCTAGCCGAGAGATCCCATGAAGCCTGGATTGGCCTGCAGCTGAGGATGATGAGAAAGAGGTATGCCAGTGCGTACGAAGAGGCGAAGCCAATGAGGGTCATTGTAATAATTCTGAACCACCTTTCGGGTGATAGACGCAAGTACAAAACGAGGAGTGACAACTTCGCAGTAGTTACACTTAATGAGTAGACGGCTATCGCAATGATGCTGTGCTAGATCATTTTGTCAGTCGGGTGCGTCTGTGGAAAGAACAAATGCTGAGTGGAGATTCATCTGACAACCTCAAGAGAGGGTTGTAACTTACAAGCAGGAATGAAGGTGAATAGTCAGCTCGCTCGACTTGCCAAAAATGAGTACCCACGCCGAGCTCGCACACTTCTGGAATTAGAGGCGCCCTGCATAGTAAGTGGTCGGAATAGTCTCACATTTGACGGATAGTCCATAGAAGATTATGGCCAGAACTAGCGAGATGCCGATGAGATCTGGGTAAGGGCTCATTAGAACAGAGTTCACAAATATATGTTAGGAGAATACTCACAGTCATCGGGACCAAGACCTCTTCTCACCAGGGATAGCCTTGTGAAGGCTCGCAGACCGACAAATATGATGGATAGCGAAGTCAGCGTTCCACCCAGTATCAACGCCCCGGCTGTAATGGTGCCCGCATCGAATCGTCCTTGACCATCTGGCGGCTCGGCCATGTACCTGGGCTCGGAAGAGGCCATCGACACACCCAATGACGACCAAGCCTTCAAGGCCGATCACAAAGAGGTTACTGGTGGAAAAGGGAGGTCAAGAATAGTAGAGAAGCACAAGCCACGGCAGGACCAAAACTCAGTATCCGGGAATTTGGGCTGTTTTATTCCTGTGGAATGGTATGCTGGGGTCTTGGCCATCCCTTGGAAACTTGTGTCACTCCACCGGGCGGCGTGATGCAGGCCACGGGGGAGGCTCCGTGCTGACATCAAATTGACAAGCAAACCTGAATGCTCTCGCAGAGTGTGCACTCCCAGCAGAAGTCCTTCTTTTTTTCACAGGGCATCTTTCGCGAGCTTTGAGTGGACAACCTGCCAAGCGGAATCCATGTAGTCTCGAGCGTACCCGCTCAACCGGCTGTTTGTGATGCATTGGGGAAGAAAATAAGCAATATGTTGTCTGAGATTCGAGCTTTAACCTAGGTATACCCCTCCTGAAAACTTGACAGGAGAAGTGACATTTGACAGCTGTCAGTGCTTTGCCATTGCTCAAGACCCTCTTTTCGGGTTTGGGGACTTGGAATCGAGGACGGTGACACCACAATTTCCGCTCGGGTGTAATTCACATTCTGACTTGGTTTCTCACCTTCTCTGAGTGGTCCGAAGTTCACTTCGCAACACCTGGGGATTTCCTTGCCCCCTTACTGCCCTAATACTGTCCGGGGGCAGTCATTCTCCCCCTTATGATAGTGAGCTTGTCTCCCTTGTTCAGCATCCACCGTTCTACGGACGACGACCTGAGAGACTAGGGGGTGTCAGGGTTGGATATTCGAAAAAGAAATAATGCTCACTATTTGGAGGTTCTGCCAGTGGTCGGCTCAAGTTATATGGGGCTCAAGGCTCTACAGCCAACCCTGTAAGAGTCTGGAAATGCACTGATCGACTGGTATTGTGCGGATGCCCATAGCAGAAGACCTCTTCCTAAAATAGATTGAGAAAGATAGAGCCATAAATCCTTATGTTTCTATTATGATCATAAGGCGTCATTGAGTCAGATTGTATGCGATCTTTTGAAGCTCAGTATGTGGTTCAGAGGATACTACCATTGATGCTAATGTGGTTGACTCCCTCGTACTGATTTCCTAGTTATCTCAAGTAACTCAGACAACGTGGTCTTGGTATTGAGATCCAGCAAACATCTCCCCACTACGATTTCTAAATCCTAGATCTACTATTGCTCATCAAAAAAAATTATGATTTGAGAGACAATTCTGTATTCACTGCCAAAAGTCCTAGCCATCAGCCTTCGGAGTACACGTATGACAAGCGCAACTTAGCATTGCCTCCGTTGTCGGATGTAGGCCAATAGCGCATCTAACACCTGGTGATCGGTTGCTATATTTTCCTAATCTCGCATGAAGCCCCGTAACATGTCTGTGCCGCTGCTAGGAGTTGAAGTTTACTTCCCTAACTTACTTCAAGTCGTTGGTTGGGGGTTCAGACTTATCAGGTGAACCACGAAACGTTAGCAGCTGGTTTCCTTGACTCGCAAGGTGGGAGACAAGAATCATATCCGCTCTAAGGGGTTGTCAGGATTCCCTACACGGCACACTCAAGTGGGTGCTGCCATTCTCGTGTGTTTTCCCCGGCCAAATGTTCAAAGACCAACAAGATAATCCGAGTGTCTTTCATTCCGGAGGCTTTTGGCATGTCCACCACCCCCCCCCCCCCCGCGCGGGGGGTATCTTCATTTGGCATTTTGTTGCCTCTCGTCATCGTAATGTAAACATGAACCCACGTGCTGATGCCTTTGTGTGAACTTAGACGCCGCAATCAATCATGGAGTTCTAACTGCTGTAAAGGTGAAGAAACTTCAATTCCTCATGGAAATTGTGCCGTTTTGGTGGGAGATGATGGGTGCATGGACAGTGGGTTCAATGTATTGATGCTACCCCTGGCCTGTTGGCTTGAAGTGTATCCTTCCAAATCTCCATCTATACTCCCTGTAATAGTCGATTTGTATGTCATTTGCGTTACGGATTGACTTGTCGTGCTGGTGGGCGATTGAGGAGGCGCACTCGGTGTCTGACGTCTTTGTCCGGCCGATTCGTTGGTTGCTCCTGAGAGAGGTCTTCGCGATCCTTGGCTGCCATACCTGGAAGTTCCCGAGCATGCTAACAAGGGCCGCATAATCGGCACACATGCGCAAATGACTGCAGACGTTGGCTCGGCCATACTTAGGAGAACGAGCGGCACGGCTTGGTAGAACCCATCGATCCCGCTTGTAGCAAGAGGCAGGCTGACTATTCTCAGCACGGAGATCGCGCTGGTGCTGCAATTTGTTCAGGAAGACGACCTTTGAAGAGGCAGGTTATATTACTCACAAGATTCCCACCCCAAAACTGGAGATTAGACCAGCTTTTTGCATTGCTGCAAGGCGCATCTGTCCCACAAGTGCCAGCGGCAGTATGAAAATGACGATATCCGTCGAGAGATGTACGGCGGCGTTGACGTAGCCAAATATCAGGTATGCCTTTTCCCCAGGCGAAGGGACATACCCCGGCTTCAGAAAATCTCGCATAACGATTCCGCCGAAGATGAGCAATCCTATGAGTGCTAGGAACATGATGCCCAGGAAGATGTCGCAGAACAATATTATGTGAGGCAGAGCGAATGCTCGGCGGAACTGCAGTAAAAACGTTGCTTTAATGAAACCGAAAGATAATTGGTACATAAGGACTGTTGTAACCAAGTACTAAGACCGACGTCAGCCAAAGTCTCGCAGGCTTGGTGCCGACTGTAGATCATGTGTCCTGTTGACTTACACGAGGATTTTGCTGTATCTGATCAAATGTTGATCTCCAAAGGTGCAGCCCAAGACTACCATACACTACATCTGATGAAGAAATTCAGGATCAGTCTATTCGCTGACTGAAATATAGTGAAAATCCAGCAGAGTTTGACTTACTGCATAGTACCATGGCTCCTTGGACAATCACGAGCATCTTGTATGATAGTGTTAGTTGTCATTTGGGGGACTTCATAGCGGGGCAACCTTGAACTCACCGAAGACCACATGAACACAGAGTCGTCGAGTTGCCATCCTCTCAAGAGGTAACCCCTGATATAAACCCGAATGGCCATAAAAATGGCAATCAATACGATGAACATTGATGTAATACCGATGACTAAAGGCTGCCTCGTATCACTTGGCAAGAATGCTCCTGGCCCAACCACCCCTGACGGTATAGTTGTGTTGCTCATACTGAAGCCCGTGGTCGAGACCAAACGAAGCGAAGTAAAGGACCTGCCAAGATCTGTTGGTTTTGTTTGCTCGATATAGGCCGTGTAAAGAGAGTCGTACACATATGTTTTCATGAATCCGATAGCATTCCAGAAAGACCCCTGCGTCGTGAAGTTTCCAGGCTCACACGCGCGCCCGAGTGCTTGCGTATTTGTCGAAATATAGGAAACCGTGAATCAGAATTCAAGAAGAAAGAGGAGATCGGCGTCACTCTTCCTGAACCGAACCCCCCAACTTGAGGACCGGTGCGGTTGAGTCGCTGCTATGTATCGGGCTGGCCGCATTTGGTGGCGGATGTGTCTTGGACTGATGTGGCCGCCGCAAACTGCCGCGTATCTGCAATCCTAACCCGCATGCGGCTTCGGGGACGCCATCCGTACGCCGTCGATCGAGGCAAGCACCAACTATTTGGATTCTCTTCGGTCTATTCCTCGTCAATACCCGAAGACTGTGAAATGGCATGCGCTACTTCTTTGTTACTGATCGTAGCTCTTGCGTAGCGCACCACGTTTCATTCGGCTCTCTATGCGGACCAGTATCTTGACCTTGAGGGCCAATTTTGATGGTGCGCGCTTGTTCTTTTGATGAGTACAACCGCTTACACATGGACTGTGAGGCTACTAGCACCACCACCGCCAAGCTACATCGTCTTTTCCGTGGCTCATAGTCAGTCCGGGTAAAGCGGTAACGACCACCTAAGTTATGAGCTTGGTAGCACAAATATTTACGGGGCAGTCGATTTTATGTACCCAGTTGCCAAAAAAAGTCTCCCAGTATATTACGTGTCTCAACTATATAAGATATGCGTCTAATGCTTTATGATCATCACCCCATGTCGGATGGCACCTTTTAGTATGCCATAGAATGCTAAACCCTTACGCCATGCTTCAAAAATAACAAATAATCTTCCCGAATAATTCCAGAAATTTTACAGACTAGGCTTAAATCTGCCTCTGATCCGCTCGCCGAACATGTAAAAGACGAGAGGAATGGGGATGAGGGCGACCGAGATGAACGCTAGCAAACTGTTACCCCATCCGAGCCCGAGGGCGTTGTACATTTCTAAGCCTCCAAGAGGAAGGAGCGCACCGGCTAAAGATCGAAGAACAGCTAGCGCGGCAGTGACAGAAGCTGCATATCGGGGGTATGTGTCGAGGAGGTAGTTCTGAATGCACATCTGTTCCTCATGTCAGCCAACACCCTTCCATTCGATACGCATTGGGGACTTACCATTACACCCATAAGTCCAATGGCGAAAATGACAACTCCAAGCATGGGAACGATAAAGTGAACACCCTTATCAGTTGTCCATCCATAGATGAAGAGACCGATTGGCAGAACCACACCGCAAGGCATGGTCAAAACCGGAGTAAGACGGGCCTCGGGTCTGTGAACGAGCCCCTTCTTCTTATTACTGATGACGATGAAATCGGTGAGCGCACCGAAGGTGCCGACACCAATCATCATACCGATACCGGCAGGAAGGAAAGTGAGACCGATGGTTCCCTCATCGAAGCCGTATTGATCTCTGTAGACGAAGGAGAAGGTTGTGATGAGGAGGTAGAGGATACCGTATGTGATGGCGACGTAGAGAGCCATGAGAGTGACGATCGGTGTGACGAAGAGGAGCTTTATAGGTCGGACGATGGCGTGCTGGAACTTGTGCTTCGTGGTTTGGCCATCATCGAGCTTGCTTCTGAGGTTCGTGTTGCCAGTTTCCTTGCGGAGCCTGGCTACCTTGCGTTCGAGAATGAGAGGGGCGAAGGTCTCCTTCATCATGAACCAAGAAAGAGGAATGAAGATACCACCCTACAGCTTGGTCAGATTTCGTGCACTGCTTGGCTTTCAAATCTCTCGGAGGAATACATACCACAATAGTCACAAGCCAGTACACCCATCTCCATCCAGCAGCCTTGATCAAGTAGCCTCCGGCAACGGGACCAATACAAGGGCCGAGGAGGGGTCCTAAGGCCCAAGCGGACATGGCTCGACCTCTCTGCTCAATTGGCATGATATCTGCAATACTGCCACTTCCGATGGTGACTGGCACCGCACCAGCCAAACCCATAAGGAAACGGAACGCCATCATCATGGCCATGTTTTGTGAGAGGGCCGTGCCGACGGTGAAGATGGTGAAGAGAATGTTGCCGTAGATGTAGAGCCGTGCGCGACCAAAGACCTCACTCATCGGAGCGATAATGAGAGGGCCAAAGGCAAAGCCGAGGATGTAAACTGAGACGACGAACGTTGCTACCGTGGCCGAGGTCTCGTGAAATTCAACCATGATTTTGGGAATACCGGGGGCGAACATGGAGGATCCCTGCGAAAAATGTCAGCTTTCAGTCAGCTTAGAAACGCGTTTCCAAGAGAGCTTACAAGTGGTCTGTTGAGGTTAGCTGATGGGCTTCGTCTTTGGGTTCTGGGGTAGAGGTAGAACTTACGTGACAAAGGTTAACATCGAAATGGTAGCGATATTCAACCACTTTTGCTTCATGGGCCAGTTTTGAGGGTTTTCAGGATCGTCAGGTCCGTCCCAATCGACGACGTTCGGGTCGTGGTGTGCTTCCTTGTCAGCATCTTGTGTGTTTTCTTCTGGCTCCTGGCGAGACTCGGGTCTGATGGTTGCGCCTTCGAGATCCGAGGCGTTGGGGCTGATTCCTTTCTCAACATCCACTTCTCTTTGGGCAGAGTCCGAGGACTTGAGATCCGCCATGGTGTGCTTTGAAATTCCGGTGCTACGCCTGTGTGTTGGTAGCACGTCTGAATCGATCGTGTAAGTCGTTTGCTGTGTGTAGGTTTCCGGGAGAATGGTTCGGCGTGGTCGTTATTTGTATGTAGAAACACGAACTTCTTGGCTTGAGCCTCAAGAATAAAGCTGAAAAAATCAACGGGAAGAAGGTTACATTATATTCGTTGCGGGAGACCTAGAAGCGCATAGCAACCCCGGGTCTTGGAGAAGGGGTTCAGGTCCGATTGCACAAAGTTGTGCCATGGTTGGACCATGCGCCGCACTAGTTCGTTGGTTTCTCCATCAGCACACCACGAATTAAGAATCCGAAAGCGAGATTCCCTGATAATGCGATCGCGAGCCTCTCAGCGATTGGACGACACTGATGGGCGCAGGGATCATACCCCCTTCAACATTAGACGGCCTGGAACCATTTGATGAACAGAGGCGGCACTGACATGTCAGGACACGGGGCATTGCGTACTGATGGCTTGTTCTGGCGCAGAATTTTCCTCGCTTTCTCGTTCCAACTGTGGCTTACCAACGTGTCGGTGTCATTCCAGCCTGATTGCTGTCAGGAGGCCGAGCGCTTCTGTCAAAATATTAGACGACCAAGCTTGGGTTACTGGGAACTGCCTAGACCACCGGTGATTATTTCACTCCCTAAATCCGGGGGGATGGTAGCCTCGACATCTGAGTCCCTATGTCCGTATCGTCAAGGAGCACAGAGATAGACATCAATAACTTGAATTGTCGTGCTGAGCTAGTAGAGCCACGTGTATGGCGGATTACGACTTGAGCGTGGAACACAAGCTAACAAGTGCTTAAATGCCCATGATGCCTCAAAATGGGACAGTCGCACGACCGCGTCGGGCTCTCTCCTTATTAGTATGTTGTGGCACATGGAAAGCACCATCAGTCTTTGACCGTATTCGAAATAGTATGCATGTTTTCCCCAAAGAATTCACGCTGTTTGTCCCCTTAGTCTTCGGGATAGGTCATTCGGGCCCGGAGTTGCATAAGTCAACCGGAGCATGCATAACTCTCGCCGGAAGGTGGCGCTCCCGCCGGCCAGGCCCCTGCGGGGAAATCAACACTTTAAGATTGGCATTCCCATTCTCATCCCCGAAGTAAGACGCGGATCCTGCCGCAGCGCGGGCTCTTACAAGAGCCCGCTCTTTTGAATCCCGTTCTCTGTCCAAGGCAGAAGCTGCAAAACGACAGCGAATGGGATTGAAGGGTTTGTACCTTATTTGTCTGTTATATGACCCCAGCTGTCGGAATTAGGGTTACAATCCGGCGAAGCTTCGATCCTGTGCCAGCTTGCCAGGAGGCACCTCACTGAGTGGTACTACAGGGGCCAAACCTGAATACGCGGACTGCTAGTGTTATACGAGGAAGGGGCTCTGAAACCAGTCAACCACACTCTTGAACCCATCCCCTACAAATATCTGAGTTGGCGGCCTTTCACAGCGCTCCGTCTGGCGTATTTCCGTCTCAATTTCTCTCTTAAATCCGTTCATCTTACTTGAAGAATCTATCGAAATGTAGCAAACCACTAATGTGCTTCTTGCAAGTTTTCTGCTTTCAAGGTGATGTAAGATAGTCGACTGCTGAGTATTGATTGGAGTTGAAAGGTGAGCAGCACTATCGTTCTCATTTCGGTTGTTCGCGCGCATGTTGTTTTACACATAGACGATTTCATTTCCAGTGACAGAATCTACAGTTCGTCGCGCATCATTACGTTACTACATTCAAGTTCAGATTCGGGGCCAAGCTCCGAGTCTGCTGTGCCCAAGTCGAACGCGACAGCCGTAGCCTTCGGTACGGAGCTGGAAGGAGACCGCTTCCTCCGCTTGCTCCTCTTAGCGGCGTCAAAGAAGTTTTTAAGGCGGGCCCTAATACCGGGCTGTCCACGGAGAATGTCGATCCTCGATTGAGCGTAGATCCTCCCAGTATCAAGCATAAATAAGCAAACTTTGTGGATATCCCAGCATCGCTTTCGTATAGCTGAACTGGCCACAGATTGCTTGGTGTGACTTCTTAGTTCGCATTCGCCCATCACTGAGAGTGGCCCCTAGTCGTTAAACACGGTCAAAAACTTCATATTCATCACATGCAGTCATTTCTTTCTCAATTTACATCACCCATCCCCTGCTTATCAGTACAACGGGCTACTCCTTGGGACGCCCATTCCCGCGCGCTTACCTAAGACGGAATACTCCTTTTCACACCCAGCTGTCTTCGAATTCGATCTTCAAGAGTCTGAAGTTCTACCACAACGAATATTTGACTCCCACGCCAGAACCACGAAGGCTCAATGACGGGGCGAAATGAGGTCATGATACATTCTTCCTCCTGGGCCATATCTCCTACGGTCATAATGCGCGTATCGCCACAAGTACTCTCTTGACCGTTGAATTACCGGCTGCCTACGTGGCCTTGATTGTTCTTTTTGCTGATCCTTTGACGCTGTTATTCCCGGGTTTCCTAAGCTGGAATCGGGCCTGCATTGATGTGTCGTAATCTGAACTCATCATCTTCCGTAGCCGCGTTAGACTTTCCTTAATGAGCTCCAGGAACAATGTATCTTATGCAAACAAGCGGTAATACTGCTAGTGCATCGCTGATGCCGACCAATCTGTTTCTCATCAATCGCAGTCAGTAACTACGGCTTGGCAAGCGCTCATCTGGGTGATCTAGAGTCTTGCTCGTTCTATCTATGGGATGTGTTCTCGTAAAGTATCTTTTCCCAGACCCTGAGAAGAGCTCTAGCCTATAATGAATGAGTCTCTTTGGCAACTGTTTCTGAGATTGCTACCCAGACTTATAAGGCCGACGTATGAAGATTAGGGCTTCGGCTGGTTGATCATTCTTCGGAATAGATGGATGGAGGTCTTGATATAATACCAGCCGCCATGAGATTAAGCACAGGATTGACAACCTCGCCGCTCATGACTAAAGTGACGTTCGTCGATTGTAAAGACGCGCTGATAAAGACGAATATGTCTGACGTTGTCGAAGTTCGGATCATAGACGTGATATCTTATGTAAACTTATCCAGCCTAGTAATGACATTAAGTAAGTATGAGGCCCTGTGTCATTTCATGTCTGAAGCACTACATTCCCCATAAGAGTAGGACGTCATGAACTCAATTGAAAATGACCACAAAATGGTTCAAGGGTTTATAACGTAACTTTTAACATAGCTCGTTAGAGATAGTGCGGTCTGCAGCAGCTCCCTGAGATGCGATAACTGAGCATAAGGTGGTTGAGTGAAATCATTGATGGATCTTACACGGAAGATAGGAAAGGGGATGAGACTGAATGAAAAAGCACCCCTGTGAACTAGTCGAAAACTTCTATGACCCGAATCAATCAAAAGTTTTTTAGTCGGTGATCATCACATACCTGAAGGTTGAGTTAAAAGAACAAGTCCGAATTTATTATGCAAGTAAAGTCGATCGTGAATGCTAATAGAAGGAAATGCGAATGCATGGCTGAGGGTAGGATCGGCCTGTCAGGCCGGGCCGGGATGATCCCTAGCTGTCGCCCAAAGCTACGTAATGACTTGCATTAGCGAATCTTCAGTGGGCATGCCCGCCACGCCGCGGCCCTGTCAGTGACCTTGCGCCATCTCCCCACTGGCGAAGGAATCTGACAGAAACATCACCACTTGACGCCCACGGCCTCAGCTCCCACGCCGCGTCGCCGCGAAACGATGAACGCGTCCACATGTCCCCCAACACGCCCGAAAAGTCGGCGAGCCCAGCCGAGGTAGCATTTGCCAATGACGCCGAACCATTTGTTCCGAAACTCTTGATCAACGACCTGCTGCGCACCCGCTACTGCATCCCTGGTTCCATCTTTCTTGTTGAAGACGTCGAGTCGCTCCCGGTGCCACGGTCGAAGCGATGGAGGGCTATACGACTAATGCTGGGGGACGGTGAGCTCTGTATACAAGCTCTTCTCCGGGGGGAAATGCATCGTTTCCTGGACACCAGAGCTGTCCGCGTCGGCTGCTACGTCCGCTTGGGGGAATTCTCCATTCGTCTACAGGATCTCGTCGGGCATGACGGTCGCTCTGGAGGGACACGCCAGATGGTATACTTGGTCGTCCATGATCTAGTCACGGTTGGATGGCATAGAGCTCTTACGGAACCCGACGCCATATCCCCAGAACATGAAGTTGAGGACGAGATCGTCTTCGATAGCGATGTGGAATCTGTCGCAACTCCGACAAAGGCACGACAAGCAAGACCGATCTCGATACCTACATCGACACAACGCCCGAGACCGCAACACGTGCGTTCGATTGGAGCAGCCGGGGTAATCGCGGAGGCTGACGATGAAGACGAAGATGGTTTCGAGGTTATGCAAGTATCGGAGACAAAAGCAACTCAACGTAGGGTGCAGGCCAAGAAGGGAGGTCCCGTGGCTTTGCCGCGCGACTGGACCGATCCGAACACGCCCCTAAAGCTGACCTCTTTACGATCCATCCCGAACTTGCCCTACAAACAAAATTGGTCTGTCAACGTTCTTGCAGTCGTCGCCTCACTATCCGAAATCGAGCCGTCCCACATGCCACCGCATCACACGCAACGGACTGCTCGACTCGTCGACCCGAGCAGCAGCAAGCAAGTCATCTTGACCGTTTTCCTCGACGCCGAGGCCTTCACCCCCAAGATTGGGAGCGTTGTACTCCTCGTCGGTGTCAAGAATCACCGCTTTGATGGTGGCTGCCTCAAGAAATACGTCAGCGACAAGCCCAAACCCGGTAGTAGGTGGTGGTTTGAGGAGCCAAGACAGTTTGACTGGTGTGACGTGGACGGGCTGAAGCAGTGGTGGGAGCAGTCGGGCTTGCAAGGAGTCGCAGTCGACGGCTCATGACTCGGGAGGAACACGCTCGATCTATACACATGATTCCGATTGATACGTACATGAACGTCAAGGATGTTAAAGTCTTGGTACCGGTTTCAGACGCTACTGACTTGGGCTATAGATGAGCCCGACATATCTACTGCATCAAGATGGGGGTATGCCGACATGGAGGCAGCTTCAAGAAGAACGCGGGAATTGCTTGTCTATCGCTCGCCGAAAGGTCTCTCTTGCCGTCTACTCCACACCCCAGGCACCAAGAACGTTCCGTCCACCTCCATTCGTGCCTTTGCCGCTGAGCGCCTCAAGCCGCTTTACCCGATTTACAAGCAGACCAACGCATATAGGTCCTATGATTGTGCACAAAGTGATGGCCCACGTCACGATCAAGAACATCTCCGAAGGCTGATCGGGTGCGCCTGACCCGCCGCTGAAGATGCCGGTGCTTTCGGCTAGTGCAGAGATCAAGTAGCCAATCTCACCACGAGCGACCATCGCGAAGGCGAGGATACAGGCCGGATACACGGAAACCGGCATCTCCGGCTTGGGAGAAGCATTTTTCGGAGTTTTTCCGGTTTGTCGCAAGTCGAGCGGCTGAGGCGGCATCTCTTCCGTTTGACCATCTTGCGCACCCTGCCGCGGCTCCTGGTCCTGCTGCGGCTGCTTTGGCGGAGAAGTCTGACTGTTGTTTGCTCCCGAATCCGATGCTGTCCCGGCACATTGTGTTCCGGGTGCGAGTTTCTTCGACTTCTGCTTCCCTACACCGGATACCTTTTTGGTGATCCGCTGCACGGTGCGCAACGGACTGGCAAAAGACAGCAGCCAAACACCACACATTAGTTTGCCAGCCATCATCAGGATGGTGTAGACTATTCCACGCCAAACAATGGGACCGGTAAACATCCTCGTTATCGGTACGGAGAAGCCGATGGATGCCTGTGGGGATTAGCATCTGATATCAATATAAGGATATTCACCATGGGGACTTACGAAGAAGAAAGGCTTCAGCACGTGATCAACGGCCTTGCTGTAGTAATGTTCGTAGATCTCAATGCCTGTGTTGTAGGTATCCGATTCGCCATTGCTTGGCATCAGAGTAGCTGCAGGTGGGATCTCGGAGCTCGACTGCCCTGGGTTATTTGCAGAGAGAGCTTCCTGGTTGTCTGCAGCAGATCCGCCTTGAACTATGAATGCTTTCTGCTTTCCCTTTCCGCGAGATATGGGATGAGGCACCTCGCTGTCCCACCAACTGATGGTGGCGCCCGCGACATATGCCGCTAGCAAGGTCGACGTCCCAGCGAAGGCCCCTCCCATAATGAGCCCAAATAACCAGCACGTATGAATGACGAGAGCAGTCTGACGCATACGAAGAAGCTGGTCAACCTTGGACCCAGGGTTCTTCTCTCTTATCATATTCAGGCGCAATGTGATCGGGCCCACGACGAGCTTACACACCGCCGGTACAACGGTCGCGAAACCCAACGAGACGAGAATCGGTCGGACCACCGTCACGGCGTTGAAATCGCTGCCGCCGCCACCACCGAGGTTGGACACGACCTGAACCATGATGAGGCCGACGACGTCATCCATCATGGCAGCGCTAGTCAACACGACTCCCATGCGGGTGGTCGTGAGGCCGCTCGTGCCTAGAACCGTAAATGTTGTCCCGAGACTGGTCGAGCAGAGCGCGGCTCCTGCGGCGAAGGCCTGTAGCGGTGTGGCGCCGATCAAAGAGCTCAGGCTGAAGGAGAGTCCCATGGGGACAGCGATGCCAGTGACGGCGACGCCAATTGAGAGTAGAAGATTGGCTTTGAGGGACTTGAAAGACGTGGAGAGACCTCCTGTGGACAAATTATGAGTATCACAGTGCTGGGGTATTGCAAAAGATGAACCTTACCTTCATAGACAATCAGAATCAAGCCGAGATATCCCAGTTGCACCATCGAGTGCTCCATCTCTTCGGAGAGCCATTTTGCTCCTGGCGTTCCCCATGCGATACCGAGGAATACCTGACCAATGAGACCACAGTAGACGAGCTTGTCGAGAGCGTAATTTACGGAATCGAGGAGCAGGAGGAAGCCGGAGAGGATGGCGATGGTGGTGATGGATGGCTCATGATAGGCCAGCGAGGATGCTGTTACTGCCATAGCTCTGCGTGGTTTGATCAACGATATCTTGAGAGGAACAGAGACGTTGGGTCTTGGGGAACAGCCATATCACGTATGGCAGCTGGATTTCGTCTTCCCTTATCAATTGACCGTTCCAATATCAGCGCGGGATCGCTGTTGAAAATAGTCGCAAATTGGAAATTGATGCAGATCTTGGCGATGGATATTAGACTCTTCCCCTTTGCTGACTCATGAGCAACTCTCGGCGCATGACGTCACATGATCCCATGAAAACACAAGAGCGCCGTCTCTCGCCAATGTTTCCTAGTAGTTCAAGTTGTCACCCAGAGTTGCAACGGAAACTTTGTTGGTGGACTATTTTCAATGTTCGAACAGACTGTTCCAGCCAGGTATATTATAAAAATGAGTAACAACGCGAAAACACATCTCGCACCTGAAATATGCCATAATGCCAAAACTCCAAGGCTAGACCCGCTGCCATCTGCCAAAGTCTCGTGTCATCCAGCCACGGTGCGCACCCCGAAACCTCGTCTTCCAAGTTAGTAAGCCCTCCCGGCGAATGTTTTCCTGATTCGGCCAAATCCAACTTGCGGAACGGATTAGTGCAAAGGCGCCCGGGTGCTCTTCTCAGAAAACAGGGCCTCGCTTCGCTTAACCTTCTTCCCCTTCCCCTTCCCCTTGCCACCCGCCGGAGGCGTACCGGGAGCAGTAGCATTCTGTCCCGGGGCCGGGATCGCGCCGCCGCGGTTGAGGCACGAGTCGTTGTCCGGGTTGGCGACGTTGATGGGCACCTGCAGGACCTGTCCGATCTCGATGAAATCTGGGTTGGCGATGTTGTTGAGCTTGGCGATGTTGCAAATGCCCGAGTTGAGGAGGCGCGCGATCTGGCCGAGGGTGTCGCCTTGGATCACGGTCAGAGTGACGGTGCGGTTGGCATTGTTGACTGCGCCGCCGCCGCCGGGCGGGGCGGCGGCAGGGTTGCTTGTCAGAGGGGGAGGCGGCGTTGCTTGTCTCCTAGTTGGGGGCGGCTCGGAGCGTGTTGGTTCGGAGCGGGAGAAGAGGAGGTGGGAGAGGCTGCGAGTGATGAGGCCTTTGGGGTCGACTTGGGCGTCTGGTTTGATGATTGGGTTGGCTTGCGCGATGCTGGCGACGCCGGCCAGGGCGAGGTAAAGGATTGAAGAGCGCATTGCGTGGATGCTTTGTTGGTGACTGAAGTCGACGTATAGAAGGAGAGATATAGTTGAGTAGTTGATAGAGCTTTGACAGACTGTTCGTCGACTGAAGGAGTGGCAGGTTCGACGGCAAGCGCAAGAACCTTGGTCTTTGAGGTGTGGGATGCCGCGGGGATATATGGTGACTGAAAGAGCGTCTGGTCTGAATGTTGGAACAGGGAGACTGTGGTCAGAAAAAGAATGGCTTGGCCCTTGAAAGAACTGAGACGATCCCCTCCCCTCGTCTGTCAAGTCAACTTTATATCAGAGGCAATACCGTTCCTCCAAGGTATGCCACCCTCTCTGAAAGTCGCCGGACTGCTTGGAGCCAGGTCCGCCAGTATGCAAGGTTGGATGCGATTGGTCAGAGGACGGGAGTTCGAGGTTGAACTGCCCACCCCGGCATGCTGCCAGATCCACCTCAATGTAACCTGCTTAATAGACACTAAGCCCTGCCGCCCGCCCTACGATGTGTCCCATCGATTCGGTATGGGCGGAAGTCGGCGGGCAGGAGTTGGTTTGCGAAGCGCGGGAGCGTTGGCTTCAACGTCGCGGAGGGGTGAGGGGGTTCCATACAAAGGCCGCCCGCGAACGCCGAAGACAGTAGCCAAAAGCTAAAAATATGGGGGGATTTTAGAGAGATGCGCGTCGTAGTAGCGAAGAGAAGACACGCTGAAACGGCAGCCCAGTGCTTCGACAGTGCTGCGGCCGACAGTTGAGTCAGGTTCCAGCTCACAGTCGCTGACCTCAAGTCAATCGAAGCACTGGTTCTGCAGTGCTTCAAAGTCGGCAGGGGAGAGCTGCCTAGGATGGGACAGACGGACCCAGCAACTTGAGACGGCGTCCACACCAGTTCCCAGACGGTCTCTCGCATCTTGTCGAACTCTATCATCGCAACCACAGACAACCTCAGAGATGTTCTGCGAGTATCGCTCATTCTCGAGTCAGGTTCCGGGACGGGATGAACGGAGCCCAACTCCTTAGTCCAGCCCAAGCTTTTTTAGCGCATAGGATGCTGAGGTTTCCGGTTTGCGTGCTGTGAATTTACTGCTCTGCAAGGAGGTCATGCTTGTTTCCAGCAATTGATGGTACCAAACCGATCTCGGATCTCCCTGCTTCAAGAGGTGAGGAAGAGCCACTTGAAATGACCCCGGCGTCTAATCGCCAATGAGAAATTCCATTTCTTCTAGAAGTTCCGAGGAGTTCTGCATCTGTTCTGACGCACGACACTGCCACCCTGCAGACTAGATGATTTGCGGAAGAAATGTCACGATTTATAGCACGTGGTAATATCCCAAGTTGCATGGCGACTTTCGTATCGGAAATACTATGTTGAGTTCAGCGTGTTCCTGGCGCATGTTGCGCGTACCGTGTAATTAGAAATTTGTACCGTATCGTGTGATCTTCATAGAAAGCCTGATCCCGTCAAGTTCATTTTTTTTTTCGCGCCTGTTAAGCCGGAGAAGGAAACCACAACGGTAAGGTCGAAATGTAATAACAATCTCTCTTCGGAAAAAGACACACTTTGTGCAGGCTTTGCAGAGAGCCAAGGCAGCTTTCGGCAAGACAATGGCAGACTGCTCGTAGCAACAATAAATCTAATAATATTGAGATTCTTTATTGTATTACTTCGTAGGCTAGCAGTTAGGAGGTTAGTAGTTCAGGGCGTGAAATAATGCTTCTTCTTAAGATACTTTAGTAGATTTCCATCCTAAGATCTATCGACTTGTCCATCCCCACAACATCTCTGCCCTACTCAGTCCATTGTTTCTACCTACAATGGATCTCGATAGTTAACCATGTCCCAACGAAAAGATCCAATTTAGCTCTGGGTGTAAATCTTATCCTTGCTGTTCGTCTGAACCTGCGAGCACTCAAAGCAAGTGGAATCCAAGCCACCGTAGTGATGGCATTGATTGTACATCCATTTGCCGTCAATTCTGCCGACCTTGCGTTCGACGAAAGAACCACCGAAGCGAGGACCTAGCCCCGACGCGTGCCCGAGCCATATACCAGGGGCATCTTGGCCTAAGATTGATCAGCCACATATTAAGACGGGAACGGTATAAGGTGAACGTACCCCACTTCAAAACCTCCTGGTTTTGATCATGTACACGTTGAGTTGCGTGGACATATATGGGGAGGTCAGTACCACCTTGACGAGCGCAGTAAGTGCGAAGATCGGCCGAAGCGAAAGAACTGGATAGGAACGTTAACTTCTGAGAAGAGCCCAAGGTAGTGAGCTTACACTAAAACGCCAAAGATAGCAAGTACGTGAGTAAGGAACTTCATCTTCAGAACTCGAGTATTGTAATGCTAGGAAATGGTTGCGAGTTTCAAATGTAATTCTCTAAAGTGGCGAGATGGTCAGCAGAGGGAGAAATCGGTTGGCCTTATATATATCTGCAAGAAGGATTGCTACCGGCCCTTCGCTGCGTCTGTATTTTACTTCAATCTCACAGTTCATTTTTCAGTTCATAAAAATGCGTCATGTCTTTGGGTTTCCGTCTTTAGGCCGTCTCTCCTAGATCATCTTATCTACTACTGTTTGTCCCCAACTTTACTCAAATTACTCTTATTGAAGGTTTAGAAAAGCAGGCCGGTGATGCATCAGTCCCCCTTCGCTAAGATGAATAGGAAGGAGCCTCCGCGAGTTCCGACATTTATCTGCCAAGTCAAAAGGATGAAAAGGACACGGACTAACTGAACTATAATAGATAGAGAACATTGAACACAGAGAATTTGTTCGTTTGAGGAACTGAGTAAATGTGGACTGGCCGTTATGATTACTGGCTTTAACGAGGATGCAGGTCATCCGACGATCCTTTGAGAAAACTGACTCCGGGACTTCGGAAATGATGGTGCGTTGAGAATGGGTGAGGGTTCGACATTAGGCTAGATTCGAGTCGGGAATACGACAATCCGAGCAGGAAGGCAATATAATGGTCCGCGCAGGAAGTATGTAGAGTAGGTCTGAGGTCGGTTTTCTCCAAGTACGGAATACTCCGTCTGGTCGGGTGAGTCAAGGTGAGTTCGGTATGGTGCGGTGATATATAATCTCGATTTCGATGGTCTTGAGAGACTACAGCCCTGTAGAGACAATGGGATTAGACTTGAGTCTATCGATATTTAGATTAGTACGAGGCCCAATTTCAGTCATGCCTATCAAAAGACAAGGCTGCGGTACTAGGAACTGTACTTAGTCTTGGACTGCCGAAGGGGAAGCCTTTGAATGTGAGAAGTTAAGCTTTCAATCAATGATAAACCTTGGTAAATGAACTTTCAAAAGAATAGTTTGTTAATACACACGGGATGCCTAAGATGTCGGACATCTAGTTTGCATAGTCATAGCTAAAAGATGACCTTCCACTGCCAGTCCAACAGAAGAGCGAGCTACCTAAACATAAATGCTGCCTTGACAACCCTTTCCCTTGATTCTTACATTCAGAACTTCAGAACTAGACTTGTTCGTCCACTCTTGACAAAATTTCATCATCAATCTCTTGCAGTTGTCTTTGCCGCCACTGGCTACATGATTGGCGCCTTTGCTTTTCCTGCCGACAGACCTTTGGTCAAGATGGAGGTCGCCAACACGGCTGTCACCGTCGCAGATGAAGTCGACAACCTGAACTCATCGACAAGCGGGCTTTCATTTTCGATATCTGCTTCAAAGGCTACAATCCACCTCTCCCCGTCAGAACCGACAACTTGTCCCGCTTCCTCAAGATTGAGGCTGCTAGGGGCGTAGCTCCAACCAATTGGGAACAGGCAAGTGGCAATCGTCATGTCTAATTCCAAGCATGGACCACCGACAACCTCGGCCAATTCCGTGGACGCGTCCGCCTCCGATTCAATCCGCTTTTCCACATCCTTGGCGAAGAATTCCGATGGACCTTCAGCTGGAGACGTGGAGGCACTGAGGGTTGTGCTCGTGACGGCACTACGAGTGTCCGAGAGCAGAGCGTTGATTTCAGCTTCGATATCGATTCCACCATGGAGTACTTCTTCACTATCGCGAGAGCCTAGATGGCTTAGTTTTTCCAGGCTCACTCCTGAGTCGTTTCTCAACGACCTTTCGTAAAGGCGTATTTTGTTTTCTTAGAGTCAAAAACGCTGCTTCAGACTTATTTCCTGTTAACTCTATTCTAGTATCCGGTGTTGAAGTTGGAAATCTCCAAGACAAGTGTAAATATGTATAACCATTGGCCACACAAGCCCCTTGCTCCAATAACTCCCTCTGCCCTTCTGGGAAATCTCGACGTGCTCTGTGACGGCTATGACTGGGTACAACCTCACACAGACCCACTCTTTCCTATCGACCAGACGAACTAGAGGCTGTTTCGGCGCTGGAGGTGAGGTAGGCACCCACGACAAGATCCAAGTCCGATCTACGCCAGGGATCACGTCTTACAAACCTTAAACCTCTAAGCCACACACCCACCTTGTAGATAGTTCGAGGAAGCTCAACTGATTTGTCTTTTGCAAAAAAAAAAAAAGTGACTTCTTGATGATGTTCGAAACTAAGGTAACTTCCAATGTTTTGTGTATCCACCTTGATGAAACTGGTATTTGAAAGAGCTCATGAAGCGTGGGAATTCAACGCATTGCGAGACATATGGCTGCGCCTACCGGTCTCTCGGCATAGAAAATATCAATTCAGGCTGGAATTAAAACATATTCTATGAAGATACTCGGTAACAAGGCGATTGGGCCGAATACCCCGCATGAATGGAAGTTGTGCTGCCCTTCTTGACAGTGATGAAAGCCTCACGTGGGATCAAGTCACCAAAACTAAGCATCGCGTCGATAATGTTGCCGAGAGTCTACCGCAAATTGGTTTCTACTTGAACAGAGTGAGATATCTCAAAGGCGAGTAATTTGGGTCATTATATTATGCTCTCAAAATTGTTTGGCACACGACACCCAAAGGAACCTCATCCTCCACAGCAGGCACAGACTGCCGTCCAGAAGGGCCA